TGCAAGATTGTTATAGATTCAACATTTCAAATGCTGAAAATATTTCGAAATACTACCAATTCACCCTTAGACACGAAAAAATGCCAACATTTTGCACGGAAAAGGCTGAATTTAATGACAGCTTAAATCTGACGGCTGAATTTTGTGGCATTGAAAAACTCGGGAAAAATCTATTTCAGGGGTGCAACGTTCACGATATTTCTATTATTAATAACAACATAAACACCATATATAGAAATACTTTTGTTAATATCAACGCAGAGAGAATTAGTTTGACTAAAAACAACATTGAAATAATCGATGAAATGGCATTTGTCAACTTGACAGAACTAAGATTTTTAAATTTGGATGATAATCAAATTACCGTATTGCTATACAATTCTTTTGAGGGGTTGCCAAAAATACTTGAATTGTATTTAAGGGGTAATAAAATGGTATTTTTATATCCATCCTATTTCGAATTTCTTTACGAATATAACACCATAAAAAGTATTTATTTAGAAAGTAATACTATAACTTTCATATATTCCAACACATTTAGTGGCTTAAATCTCACAAACCTATTATTATCTCACAATAAATTAGCATCACTTGAAGAAGATTTCTTTATGAATACTGAAGTATTACACTTGGATATTGGTGGAAATAATTTTAGGAATTTTGTAGGTGTATGCAAATACATGGAAAATATTAAATTTATTAATGCGATGCCCACTGAAAAATTTTGCAGCTTTAATAATAAAGTTGAAAGAAAAAATGTCATAATTATTATTGTGGTTTTTGCTGTGTTTGTCCTCATTTTGGCTGCTTTTATTTATGCCTTCAAATACAAAAAATAAACATGCATTTTTTGCTTTTTTATTTAATCCTCTTTTTAACAATTTCGACATCTTCGATTAGATCTTTTGGGCCTCGTCAATGCCGTTTTTTTTTTATTAAAAAAATCATACAATTTTTTATAAGTAAAGTGGAAATTTTGGGCCGCCACTGGTTGTTCCTGAGCAATGACAACTAACGCAAAATATGCTTGCACAGTGGGCAATAATCTACATTGATTAAAATTTTACGTTTGTGTTATCATTGATTACCTTGTTATTAATTGTTTTTTGTTTTGCATACTCAGCTATTTTTAGGTACTTTGAATAAAACAATACTTACTTTTTATTGTTAGGTATCTTGAGGTTTCGTGGTTTTCCCATCGATTTTAAATTTCACCTTTCACTTTTTACGTCGATTGATGCTCATGTAGCTATTTTTTTAAGTGTTTCACAAAATCATAATAAATGTTCAACTATCCCGCCGTTATTCTCCACACAAAGTTGTCAGCGGCGTAGAAAATTATGATGTGTCGCTCTTGCTATCATATCCGGATGAATTCGGATTACATCTGCCGATGTAGTGACAAGTTCGCGGAGTTGTTCTAATGTGTCAACTTCGCTCTGGTACACCAAACTGTTCATGTAGCCCCAGAGAAACCACAATAACAACCGAACTGTCAGTAATCAACGATAACAAAGTACCTACTAACAGATTTTAAATAAGTTTAAAAGTTTGCTTGATATTACATAATACACTGTTTCTTTTTTGCTTGGATGAATAAAATCATTGTTTTTAGAGGTAAAAACAATGATGATATATAGGATAGATCAGTGATATCCAGTGGCTCCCTGTCAACAAAATTTTATATTTTTTTTATTAAAAAACAGTAGCTCTAATGCAAAAATGATAGATGAAAAACTTTCTTGTTTTGCCGTGTACTATCATCCTCCCAAGGATGACAATTTTTTAGATGACACTCTGTGTTATTTCTAAAATATTACCACTCTGCCATTAACTATTTTATACAAAAGTTGTCCCACTTTAGTAAACAAAATAAAACCCTTTTAGAATAGTGATACTTAAGGTAATGTAGTCTGCTGCATGTTATTTTAAATTCAAAAAGTTTTAATGCATAAATTTAAAGTTGTCTTGAAGCAAGGCCGGATCTAGAGGTGTGGAGGCCCTATTTTTCAAAAAGGTTAAATAATATTTTTCTTGCAAGTGTTTCAATCATTTATTTATTATTTAGTCGTATGGCACAAAAATATAGAACATGCAATCACAAATCAAATCAAACAATAAGTAAAAAATCTTTAAATTAAAGCCTCTCATGAGAATGGCACCTTGCGATCTTTTTTCAACGAAAAATCTTTGACGATTTCCCAGAAATCCAGCTCCCGCGTTAAATCAATTTCAATGCTAATTAGGAATAACTTTAATAGAAGGTTTTGTCCCATCGCAGTTCTTAGCCTATTTTTTATAATTTTCATTTTTGAAAATGAGCGCTCTCCAGTGCAATTTGACCAAGTACATTCGCAGTGTGATTTCTATGTTTGGGAATGTAGCCTTGAAATTTTGATTTTCAAGAATTTGATAATAGAACAGCTCCTTAGATAGGTCTTTTTTATAGTCTGTTTTGTATAAATTCATCAAAAGATACAAATTGAACCAACTCATTACCAAGACTAGGTTATAAATCGTCTTTGTAAACTTTTACCAATTCATCTGCTGCAGAATACAAATTTTCAGTATCCATCTTCTCTAAATGATTAAGAAATCCAAATTTTGAACGTACATCATCATCGTATGCATGCAATCTTTTAATAAGAGAAACACATAGCTGATCGATCACTGGGATAAAGCCTGACACTTTAAATTTATCTTTTGGTGACAAGTTAGCATCTTGTGCTTTCATATAATCGACCGGATCCAATCTTACATTTCTATTTCTGGTGCGAGATTGTACGTACTGGTCAGTACTTGATATTCCTTTAGCAGCTTTTTCGTATTTGTCAAACTCGTCTCTTTTGGATTCAACAAATAATTTCAGCGATTTCAATGTTTGCATTGCAGACTCGAGTCATCTTCGGGTCCTGCAAGATCTTGTTTGAAGCGTATAATGGCTTCAAAATGCCTGTCCAAAATATGGCAAATAGAGCGGTTTCGACAACTCATCTTCTTCAAAAGTTTTACGGTAAAACAGTTTGTTTGTTTTTTTTTCGATAATTTTTTAGTTAGAATTCGGTATCTTTCTATACTGTGAAAAATGTATATAAATTCTGAACAAAATCAAAGAATTAAACAGCCGATGTGCAAGTATTAGCAGCAGTCTTTCCAACTAAATTAAGAGAATGACCACAACATTCTCCAAAATCAGGGCTTGCATGCCTGCGACAATCGATAATGTCATTTTGATGGTCGCCTAAAAATGTTTGTAAAGCTTTTGCTGTGGCTTTACCAATATGGCCACAGTTTGATAAAAAGGTCAGAAATCTTGCTTTTGGAATCGATCCTTCAATATATCAAACAACTATAATCAGTTGATCGATATGAGATTCGTCGGGCGTGGAGTCCACTGACACCGAATAATACTTAGATTTTTTAATTCTTGATATTATTTCATTGTTAACTTTATCACCCATGAAACTGATAAGTTCTTCACAAATCGTACACGAAAGGTTTTTTTTAATAAATACAATTTATGTGGGGGCCCCTCTCTTGTGGAGGCCCTGGGCAGTTGCCCTGATTGCCCTTCCTTAAATCCAGCACTGGCTTGAAGACTTTTTAAGAATAAAAAATTAAAACTAAATGGTTTTGATATAGTTTTAAAATTTAGTCTTTTAGGATGGGCCCTTTTTGGCTAGAAGCTGCTTTATGAAGATCATTAAATTTTGGTTTTATTCAAAGTTTTATTGTATACTTTTAGCCCTACAGATCACAATAAAATCATTAGTGTTACTTTGGTATCACCACCAGTTGATTTTTTATGCTCCATTATTATTTTGATGTTAATCAACAAATGTCACTTTGAAATATACAAGTAAAAAGATATGGATCGTCCCGATCTATTCTTCAATGATGGCATACGATCTATCGATTATGTTCTGGTGTATAGCAAAAAAAAATTAATAAACTCTTCCAGAGTAATGGCATTGGAAACATTCGTTCAAAATTTACAAAAAATCGGCTTCGAATATGAATCGCTCATATACTCTGTAAGCTTATAGGTAGGTAATATCAATTAGGATTTTTTATAGTTTTGATTTTAGCGCAACAGTGATATACGCTTTGTTTTGCTACATATTAAAGAAGAAAATATAATGGATTATGCCATCTCCTATAAAACCGACCTTACTATGAACAGCGTTTTGTACAAATTTCGAAAATCTCTAACGCGTTTGTCAGAAACCTTCCTAACTGATCCAGACGTATATAACGACCTTTACCTTCGAGCCGAGTAAGTCAGTTAGCCACATATTGGTTTTAAATTTTTGTTCCATTATTTCCTATATGCAACGAGAAATAGGGAGACGAATGTATTCCCCACCAAAGCTCGATATCACGTCTTCCACCAAGAATACATTTTCTCGATTTTTATGTAAGAATGTCATATTCTCGCACGCAAAATCGTTGAAGAATGAAGCTCATTCTTAAACGATTTTTGGTAACATTTAGTTTTTAAGTATTGGTACCCCCAAAATGTCAAACTGATTAATAACCTCAAATTCATTACTTTTATTGAAAATGAAGCCTTTATTATTGTTTTGTAATATAAAGTTTGCTCCAACAATGCATTTTAATGCAAAATTTTAAGTTTAATGTGTAAAAGTGCAGTTCAGGTTGTACTTGTGCAGGATAACAAATATTGTCATTTTGTGTTGCCAACTGACATTTTGCGAGAAAAATCCCCTAACTAACAACGACCACAAAACAATTAAAAAAACCTAAATAAAAGTTAAAATCGAGAAAATAGTATAAATCACACGTTGCAGAAGGCTATTCTCGCACTCATTCGTTCGTCCACTCGCTCCTTCGTCGCTCGAGGCCAAATTTCGAATTCGTGCGAGAATATGTGGCCTTCTGCAACTTGTACTTTAATATACTATTCCTCGTTGTTTATAGGAAATTGATGATAAAGACAAATGTATTTCAGAGAAACTTTTCGAGGTGACCAACCAACAGGATTCACATCTGCAGAGAAAATATACCTGGTCACCGAAATATTAAACAAAACCAGATATGGCGACACGATGAACATGTACGATATAAACTCCCTAATTAAGAGTGGAAGTCTGGAAACAGCATATCCTCTTCACACTGGAACATACAAGTGGACTGTCAGTGGACCATTAACCGATAGACAGGTTAATAATTAATCAGTTTAAAAACGCGTATATGTAATTATGTATACCTATGTAGTTGCTCTATGAGTTTTGGGCGAGACCAAAGCGTTGGTACAAGGAACATCCGAACAATGTAATCGAGAAGTATTTGGGCACCGAGTATGCTTTTTATTACAAGTTTCTGGCTCTGTACACCTGCATGCTCATTATTCCCGCCTTTTGTAGTTTAATTGTTATTGTTTATGGGTTTGCATCCATGAACTCCAAAGAAAATATGCTAAGGTATAACACCAAATAAGTCAAATATTTATAATGATGATTTAAATAAAACATTTTAGTAAAGAAATCTGTCAAAGCGATAAACTGATTTGCCCTCTATCTTCTAGAACCAAATATTTTTATGCAAAAGGTTTATGCGGGATTTTTGAAGCTACATATATTATATTTAATACCGCCTCAATAGTTTTTGCAATTGCAATTTCTTTATGGTGTAAGTCATCTCAGTATTTTTTTAATTTATAATATTTAATTTTCACGTACAGCGGCCGTTTTGGTTGAAATGTGGAAAAGGGTTGAATCCACGAATCAGTTAAAGTGGAATGTTAAAAATATGGAACAAGATTTAACCATGAGGTGAAGTTTATTAACTTATGCTTTAAGCGAATCTATTCAAGGGCTTTTAACTTGCAAAAGTATGGAACAAATTCATTAAAAAATATGACTTTTTTCCCAAAAAATGTCATGATTTTGCTTTTTAATTCCGCACATTTTGATGAAAAATTTTAATATCGAAAATATTGTTTGGGGTGACAAAAAAAAATTATGGTGAAAGTTCATAATATTAATATTAAGAGGTCTATCATCGCAATTTAAGATTTTTTTCCTGAGCTAATTTTTTTCTCAGAACTCCCAAACCATTGAGTTTTATAAAATTGTCTTATAAATATTTTTTGAAGAAAATTGAATGCTCTACAAAAAAGGTTTGACTGGAATTTCCCGTCAGATTAACCGTTTTCTTACAATCATGCCTTAAAAATTGGTATAGTTTTACAATTTGATCTTTTAACTTTGGAATTTTGTAATTCATGTAAAAATCAGTATCCGGAAAAAAAAACTAATAGATATTCTTATGGGAAATCAAATGCTCTACAAAAAAAGTCTCTTTTAACTTTGGAATTTTGTAATTCATGTAAAAATCAGTACCCAGAAAAAAACCGAAGAATATTCTTATGGGAAATCAAATGCTTTAAAAAAGAAGCCTCTTAACATTTTTGGCTAAATTCACTCCATCAAAAGTTATTCAAGTTTAAATTCTTGTTTTTTCCGCTCTAGATTTTTTTTGGGTCAGTTAAAAACTTGAATTCTTTTATCGATGATAATCTTTATGTTATTGTTAAAAATACTGAAAATTAAAAAAAAAATAACACATTAGAATTCTTTTGCTTTAAGAAGCTATTTTCTTTAGAAAATATTATTTTCACTATTACCTATTTAATCGTTTAAATAATAACAATCTTTTGTTTTTTTATTGGAAATTGTTAATTAGTTATATAATACGCATTTATAAAGAAATCCATAAAAAAATAAATCTTCAGAGGAAAAAAACAAGAATTTCGTTTTTATTTCAACTTTAACCTTGAATAACTTTTGATTGAGTGAATTTAGCCAAAAATGTTAAGAGGCTTCTTTTTTAAAGCATTTGATTTCCCATAAGAATATTCTTCGGTTTTTTTCTGGGTACTGATTTTTACATGAATTACAAAATTCCAAAGTTAAAAGATCAAAATGTAAAACTATACCAATTTTATTTTCATCTTTTTTGTAAAGCATTTAATTTTCTTAAAAACATATTTCTGTCAATTTTGTTAAACTCAATGGTTTGGGAGTTCTGAGACAAAAACTAACTGAGGAAAAAATAAATAAAATTGCGATGATAGACCTCTTAATATTAATATTATGGACTCAAACTTTCACAATAATTTTTTTTGTCCCAGTCTAATAAACATTTTTATTTCCAAAAATATATTTTTGATCTTCATGAAAATTATTTTGAAAGTGCTTTTAATGGAAACATTTGCCAATTAAATGTTTAAATTGCTCCCCGTTGGTTTCTTGACAGTAAGCAAGCCTATCCGGATATTCTCTGAGAACGTTTTGGATGACTTCCGCACTAATAAAGCGACATTCTTCGCGAATTTGATTTTTCAAGTCTTCTTATTTTGTGGTCTATTGATGTAGACCTTTGATTTAAGGTTGAGATCTGGAGATCTGGCTGGCCACTCTATCGGCCCTCGTCTGCCAGTCCACCTCTCAGGAAATCATGTGTCCAAAAAAGTACGGACAGGACGCGCATAGTGCTAAGGTGCCGCGTCCTGTTGAAATGGTATCACTTGGTAGATCGGGACCTCAATTTTCATTGTAAAACATTTCTGCTAATGTGGGAAAAAGAGTTTTGCAAAAATTCCAAATAAGTTGTAAAAGGGTTTTATTTCCCGGGGGAAAACTTTCCTTTTTAAGCTTGGCGTCACTTACCTTGCAGACTTTCTAATAAAATCTCGGGCGCCAGCTTCGTTATTTAAAGTGGAGAAGCACCACGTACCTGGGTCTGCTTTTAGACAGTGGAGAAAGGATATTCCAGGGGTCAGTTAGCTTATACTATGATTGAAATGCAATGGTTTAATTTAATACATATATTGAAATAATAATAAAACTCTATATATACAAAACAAATAATAATTTAAACAATAAGGGAATGTGGAACACTCGGTATATGAAAAGAATCTAAATTAACAAACTAAAGTAATATGAAAATAATAATCGTCTTTATTTAAAGTAAAATTATTACAATAATATTACAATATATATTGTAAGTAGGCGGCACATACGGCGAAGTTTAGCCTAAGGCTATAATATTAAAATTACATTAACTAAATAAAATAATACAGGTTACACTTCGAGCAAATATTAATACGGAAATTCAATTAAATAAACCAATGCTGTAAAAGAAATTAAATATTACGGGAAGAAAATACTACGGGCCTTCGACGGGTTTTTAGCATATCGTGGCTCACGGGACGGGCTCGCGGGGACCGGCCGTTTCGCCTGCTGGGTACTGTCTACGGCAGAGCAGATACCGAGCGGTACGGGGCGAACGTTGGCTCAGGCACGTTAAAATACTTTATAACTGTTGGCGGGACGTCATTTAATGACGGTCATTACTTACTATATTTCGGTTTCACGGGGTCGGGCTGTCGGGAACCAAATAGCCGGAACACGGGAGACAAAAGAGAGCGGGAACCAAAAAAGAGCGGGAACAACAAGAGAGTTTTAATTGCTCTGTTCGGCCTTTTATATCATCTCGGGTGCGCAATGGCGACATCAGGGAACCAAACGGCGCAGCTCCCCACTTGTTTGAATAGAGTGGAAGTGGAACCATGACGTCGCAAATCCACTTGTACGAAAATCTACATACAGGGTGTACAGACGGCGGTAAATATGGGAAAATTAAAGTAATATTCTCGTCAAAGAAGAATGAATCTATGATCCGATTTTCCACCATTCCTACACAGACATTCACTTTTTGCCGGTATGGGGAATTTGCCTCTACTACCCAATGAGGATTTTCTCTGCTCCAGTATCTACAAATTTGACGGTTGACTATACCCATAGAGTAAGACTTTACCATTCAAACAGAAGGTAGCTTCGTTTGAAAAAAGTATTTTACGAGGAAAGTGTGGATTATTGTTACATAAATTCATCTCAGTTTCACAAAATTGTAGTCTACGGTCCGGATGCAATTTTCCGTCTCCTATAGGGCTAGCGCAACCGAGTGCGCTAATCGTGTAGGATACGGAAGCGAGACCTGTATCTCCGTTCCCTAAGTGGTTAACGCACCGCCTGTAATTAGGTATTATCACTAGAGGCTAAATGTAGCAAAGTATTCCTCAAGGTTATGACGATTAGCTGTCATTTTGGTTATGCAGGTACACTGCATTGTGCCATACCAAACTAACCCAAACTTAACAACCCAACCCAACCGACCCCGCCCCATTGGGCCCCTCCCGCCCCATTGTCACAATCCAGCCTGCCCTTAGATATATTATACCTCTATTGCTGAATGGGGCGGGAGGGGCCCAATGGGTCGGGGTCGGTTGGGTTGGGTTGTTAAGTTTGGGTTGGTTTGGTATGGCACAATGCAATGTACCTGCATAACCAAGATGACAGCTATTCGTCATAACCTTGAGGAATACTTTGCTACATTTAGCCTCTGTGTATTATCGCGCTATAACGTGCATACAATGATTCGCGCCTTTAAGACATACGTCAATCTGTTTGTTTGGTTATTATTATTATTATTTTATATGTACATACAAAGAAAGATCACCTAGAAAGCTCATTGCAGAGTTCTTATTCGTATGTGGTGCGTTAACCACTTAGGTAACGGAGATGCAGGTCTCGCTTCCGTATCCTACACGATTAGCGCACTCGGTTGCGCTAGCCCTATAGGAGACGGAAAAATGTGGTCCGGATCATCTTCGTTAAGTTCCTGCACTGGTCTAATTTTGTATGGATGGTACTTCTTCCACACAACAAAAAACAAAAATTCACTTTTAGTGTCTTCAGTAATACTCGGACGGCCAGGTTTTGGAATATCTTTGACATGTACAGTCTCTCTGAATTTCCTTTCAATTTTACTAACCGTAGCACGAGTAATAGGTCGAGCTGGATACTTTGCATTAAATAAATTGCAAACTTCTTGTTGTGTTCTAGTTTTATTGTTACATCCTATGATAATTCAAACTTCAATTCTCTGTGTTTCTGTTAAATGGCCCATATTTAAATACTTCGAAATATTTGGAGAACGTTTAAGACACAGATACTTCACTGAAAGCTTAACTAAAAGTTTTTACATCTAGTAGTGAATTTTTGCTTTAAATTAAACTGATCGTCGTAAAAAACGGCGCACCTAGTTTTTTGGAAAATATTTGAAAGCTCATTATTGGAAACTGAATCGATTTTGAAAATCTTTAGAAATTCTGAATGGCTGATTCTTTGACTCTTATGTCTTATTTTGGGAATATTGTGTAATACTACAGGGTGTTAAACGAAGAGATGTATTTTTTCCAAAATTTCAAGTTATTCCCATTCATAGGGCAGTTGAGTTTGATAGTCGTAATACCCCTCCCTATTATAAGTTAGGTAATCCCTCGGAACGTTTTCGAGATTTTGTGAATAACGTGGCCTACTACGATTATATGATGATGAATTTTTTAAAAATTGTCGTTATTCCCCAGTTTGGTCCAAAAAATGAGGAATAGTGGATTCTTTGACTTACGTCTAATTTTGGGAATACAATATTGTGCACATAGCATTATACTACAGAGTGTTAAAAAAAGAGATGTTTTTTTCCAAAATTTCAAATCCCCATTCACAGGGCAGTTCTGTGGGTAAAAGGCATAAGGGGATAAGTCGACTTATCCCGAAATGTGTTTTTTGCATTAATCTTATCCTAATGTCATAACACATATGCTAGCAAAAGCGTACAGGTCTACGTTTAAAAATTAATGTTTTATTGCACGCTAAAAAATAAGATAAGTATACTTATCCGTCTAAAAACAGTTATTCTTTTTAAT